TACAGTTGCGTGCATAACGTTCTCCCAAACGCCGGTAGACACGTTGTCGCCCATCACTGTGGGAAATGTTGAACCTCGATTCATCTGTAAAGACAACATTTCTCCACCTTATTCGAGGTTGGCGAACATGATTTCGACACCATCTTAGACGGTTGACTCGATGATGGTGTGTCAGGATGGGACGTATGGCAGGGTGTCGTGGTCGAATCCCGTACTGACGTAAACGATTCCTGACAGTGTTGGGATGGATACGGCACAGTCCAGGAATTGTCTGGGACGTCGTTACTGCCGTTTGGAACCTGTGTCGGAGATGTGTAACTCGAATCCATCTGTCTTGTCTTGGCGTCGTTACTCGGGGACGTCCTGAACGTGGGTGGTCGGCAACGTCATTTGTGTTCTGATAACGCCTCACCAATGCCGATATCGTGTTACGATGGCATTGGAAATGTGTTGCCACCTGTTGTTGCCTCATTCCCGCTCGGATCATTCCAATGACGCTGTGCAGCTGTCAATCTTGGCATGATTTGCTTGTGATATGCTTGTGTCTGCGCCTGAGAAGTTTTGAATTTTTGAATGACCACAGATCATGCTTTCCAAAATGACAGCGAATTTTGAGTTGCACATGCTGTGTACAGCTGCACAGGGTGCACGTGCAGTAACACATTGCACGTCCATAGGCCCCCATCAATGACGTCATATCGCATGGCACGTGCATGAGCATTTGAATGTCTCCAATAATTGCTGTGTTCAAACCTATATTTCATATATGGACGGTGTGCCCTTATATCTATATTTTCTCCATGCACAGTTTCTTAATGTGGCTAGTATATATACCTTTATTACTTGCCCGTGAAGAGATCACCCGTTTAATAAACATACAGCTGTATTACACATTGTGTAATACCAAAACGCGTGCTTATGTACTCTCGAAACACGTTTCACGAACAAATATTGAAAGCTCTCAACATCCTTTGGCTTATTCAACGACATTGCTTGTGGAGTTGATAGATCACTGAGAGGAGCTTATGCACACTTGATGACCCCAGCAACCGTGTTGCTAGGCTGATGTCACATGGCATTGTTTCGCCGATGGATCTTGCAACAAAATTCCACAAATTGCGTCATCGGTTATTGTGACGTTATTGTAAACTTTGAGGTGCAAGGCCCGTTCCACAAGGCGATCGAAACGACAGTCGTTAGTCTGTAAAAGTAAGTGAGTTGCGATAGTCTTAGCCCTACGATAATTTTGTGAATTCTAAAGGTGGACCGTTGTATGGTATTAAATTCATACGTTTCAACTTTTGACGTGTTTGAAGTATTATTCTGTTAAACTCAATTGGACTATGCCGTGGATCGTGTAAGTGTAAGCCTATCATACTCAACAGTATAATTCTAAAAACGTTATAAATGGCAAGTAATAAATAAAATACTAAACTCGCTCCCGTGTAAAACCAATTTTATGAAACTCGTGAATAGTTGTGGTGTCTGACTCGCTTTCGCTCGTCAGATACCACAACTATTCACTCATTTCATAAAATTGGTATTACACGGGAGCTCATTTAGTATTCTATATGTATTAGATAGAAGGCAAGAAGTTTAAAGAAATGGTAAAACAATAAGACATAATATTCCTTTTGATAAGAGATATATTTTTAACTTATCCTGCATTACATAATACACATTACTCTGATTTGCGAAGTCCTAACTGGAAATAAATGACGATCTGGTAGCGTCTTCAATACTCTTTTGCCCAACATGACCTCCTTCACATCTGAAAACATGACCCTATATGTCATTATTCTCTTCTTCACTACCAATGAAGGACAGAGACGATCACTTTCTGATTTCAGAAGAATCTATCCCTTGATTCATGTGTTTCAAACAGTTTGAGTTCGTTAGGTGTCTTATCCATCATATATATCTAAGCAGACTAGAGTATTCAACTTCCATGCCTCTAACTCGGCTCATGGTGTTTCGTGTTGGCCACCTTTTTATCCCAAGTTGCCATTTGGTGGGAGACCCATGTTTAATGTGAATGTTTTTGCTTTTGTTGCCGGTTTCCTTCATAATTGTCATTTAATTTAACTTATCTGCCTTGTGCAATATGTTTTTGCTCACTCAAAATGTTTTCACTGTGACGTCACATTACAGTACAAATGTCTAGACATGAGTGGGCTTTTGAAATGTTTATGGGGTTTACCTTAAATTCCCATGTAACAGATGTTTGCTGCCAAGTGTTATCTCTATAAAGGCAAGAAATCGGCAAAGGACCCTCACCAACTATGTCCGGATTGCCAGACTCAGTGTCTCCCATTCCACAAGTGTCCCGTATGCATCTCTCTTTCCGCCGCAGACGTCCTTACCTACCTCAGAGTAGTTAACAAAAGGAAACAACAACAGGTTTGTTGCAGGATGTCTGACCTCCTCTGCTGCTTCATCACCACATAATGATACGATGATCAAGCCCAAACCTGAGACTTCTACCAAGTTGGATTAGCAGTCTGCGCTTCCAGCAGTGGCGCTTCCAGTGACACCTCAAGTAGTGGTGCCTCCTAATTCCAGTGCCCCTTCCGAATGGGCGCTTGATCTCATTAGACAATTCCATACCCTGTCTGCAGAGTTAGCGTCAGGTATGCCTATGAGACGCAGCCACTCCCCTTCTAGGTGCAGCCGCTCCACCGTCAGGCACTCGCATGGATCCCTTAGGTCAATGCCTCATAGCGCCTCCATCTCAAGGCAGAGGTCAGTTATGCTTTCCTGGGCACAGCGTAGGGGGGGGGGGAGTCACCTTCTTCTTCCCATCGCTCGAGGAAGTCAGGGTCCTCTATTCTAGAGAGTGAACCTTCATTGTCGACCCCCAGAAGTCGTGCCACATGGAGGGTGGATGCCTGGAGGCCATTACTCTGCCTCCGGACGCATTCATCCAAGAGGCATTGGTTGGCCTAGACAAGGATTTCTTGGCATTAGACAGTCATTCCACTTCCTTCAGACCAACTAAGCAGGCCACGAAGCAATCGGTACATGGCCAAGTTTACATGGAAAATGTACCATCCCTGGACATGGACTTCCATAGTTGGATCCTTCAAGATCACCAATACCCATATCTCATCCCATTATGGGGAATAATGGAAGACACTTCCCCACCTGTCGGCTTTGGCGTCATTCTTTGCAGCGATGTTGATTAACCAACCACGGACATTGTCAATTCTATTTAACCATGCCATAGCTTCAGTAGCTCAGCAAGTAGAGATAATTGAGGACAGACTAGCCATACTTTCTATCCACAGGGCGATGAAAAACAATTTCAGCGCCCATCCAGGAGCCTACCAGCCACGCCGGGATTTCAGGACTAAGGAAAGATGTGACAAGGATTCCTTGCGTGGTCATGGTGTCTACCCCAGAAGTGCATCAAATCACGTTTGATTAGAAACACGAAAAGATTTGAAAAATATCTGTTGACAACAAGTTGGTGGTGCACATGCTTTGCAAATCCTGCAATCGACCGAAATCTGCACGACAGTTTACTAACCGGATTTTGATTTCGGTGCATGATTTTGATTGGACTATGCATAGACTTATTAGTACAGCCAAAATGTAACTCCATAATACCAGCCTAGTTCGGCAAGGGTGGAAACTGGACTTTTATAGTCAGTTAGCTAACTTGCCTCGGGAAGATGCAAGGTGAGCTGCCCTGGCCGTAGCCCAGGCCCATAGACCATTCACCACTATGACAAATGATCTTCCTTTCTGTTGGCAAAAAGACGTGACCCCAAAAGATGCAACGGAGCATTTTGTAGCAGACAACTTGCTCCACCTGAGAGTAAAGAAACATCTCAAGGGTACCATAGCTACGGTATCAACACCATCTGTGCTGTTGCTCAAGACAAGAAGCTGTCAACAATACCAGAGTTGATGGCTGTTACAGAAGTTTCAGACTGGAGGATCAGAACTTGAAGTTCCGTCTCCAGCATGGGACTTGAACGTCATACTAAGCACCTCATACAGCGTCCCAATGAACCCCTCAACATGGCCTACTTTCAGAAGACCATCTTCCTGCTAGCTTTAGTTACAGCATCTAGTGTAAGAAAGCTCCACGCTTGAGATGTCACTCGAGTACAGTGAATAATGCCCCCGAGGTTCATCTTGGTTTGTGCTGGGATTTTTTGCCACGGAAACTGTTCCATACAATGCATTTTCCAGAGGTGTTTCTGGAGCTCTTCCACTGTCTTCACGAGCCATTACCTTCAGGATGTGTCCATGGAAGACATGGATAGCGTGCATAGTTTTGGGCCGTTGGTGGCACTGCAATGCAGCCTACCCCCATGCGTCCATTGTCAGACCATTTCCAGGTTTGAGGAGGGGAGGTTTCATTTCCCGTTTCACGTTTACTGGGTCACCATTACAGCACAATTCTGGGACTCGTTTATCCATTGATTAACCAAGGTCTCCTTAAGAGAACCGAAAGTTATGTCTGGCTGTTCACTTGTGCTGCTGTTGCAGATGTTCGCTGCAGAAGGGTAGCAGAGACTAACCACCTCAGGCAAGCCTAACCTACAGGACCACTCTACGAGATGCCATGACACGTTACAGCTATCACCACCACCTACCGTCAGATTAAGTGCAATATGTAATGCAGGATAAGTTAAAAATATTACATGATCAGAGTATTATTTTATATACTTATCCTGCATTACCCGAGGGCCCTCCTGTGACGGACATCTTCCTCCCCGCTGTGCCATCAGTCCTGAGGGAAGTATGCAAAGACATGTAGGGGCTGTCATGGAGGTCATGTTTGGCAAAAGAGTACTGTAGACACTACAGTTAGGAGGACTTAGTTAGTAAGAGCAAGGTGCAATATGTAATGCAAGATAAGTGTATAAAAGAGTCATAATACTCTGATTATTTAATATTCTCTGAAGCTCATATTTTGCATATTTCCACGAAAAATGCATTTATTTTGTGCGTGGTAGCATATATGTAAAAGTCTGATTTTTTTGTAGCGAGGTGGTGCACTATGATGAGTTTCTGTCTCTGTCGGAGAACCAGGTAGCCCGACTCATCTCCAGTGACAGACTTACTGTCACATCAGAAGAACAGGTAATGGGACAAGCATTATATGCAGCATGCATCAAATATGTTTGTAATAAAGTATTCACAATGTAATTTGAAAATTCATATCCTCCCATGAAAGTTCCTGGTTAGAATAAATCCACATATTTTACATAAATGTCCACTCAAAAGTGGACTGGTCTCAACACAATCTCAGACATGGCTTATTGTATGTACTCCAATAGAGCGCATTATGCAATCAGCCATTGACTTGGTTATTTATGACAGCAGAACTTTATATGGATGGGATATTGCTGACTGTGGCATATTAAACAATATTCCCCACACTAGTGTGTATCAACAAAGTGACCAGCTGTCTTGTCCCTTGAATATCATTGGCATCAAGGAGATGTTGTTCAGGTGTTTGAGGATGTCGTGTGATGTAGGGCTGAAATGGGTATCATAGTCACTACTGAAATAGTACTCCAGTCTGTGCAAGCAAGTCACATCTGAGCTACTTATGGGGATATTGGGGCATGCTCCCCTGGAAAATATCCACATTGTTTTGCACTATTTACCCTTGTATTTGTCCTTTGAAATTAACATATCTTTGTAATCTACCAAATACATATACACCTCAACGATTCTTAAATATACTACTCAAAGTTTGCTAAGGATATAAGATAATTATCTAACAAATAAAGATTAAAATATCCCAGTACACAATGATTGGGTAACCCCTAAAGGACCTTAATTTCATGATGAACAGACAGAGGCATTTAGTCATATGGGCATGATGTGCACAAGGTGCTTGGTAAACTGTGTTTGGACGTATCATGACACATTATCAGAGAGCACAATGACATTTGCTCCTGAGGATTGCAACAACTGCCCCCTTAGCATCAAAGATATCGATTGACAATGGAAGAATTAGGCAGATGCATAGGTATGTTTGAAACTGGGTCAACACCTCACATTGCAGATGTCTTTGGTGAAAGCCAAAGTGTGGACATCTTGGTGTGGAATCGAAACCAGACGTATTAAGACAACTGGACAGGCCATGACTGGGCTTCATCCTCATGGACAATTATGCATGACCTCATTGTGCCAGGGGCATTGATGCCTACTTACAGCACGAGACCATTGTCCACATGGAGTGACCAGCCCGGTCACCAGAATCAAAAACATTTAGAATGATCACCCTCTTATGAAGCCCTGTCCTTCCAGCAACTTACAGGAACTCAGCAGTGCTCTTGCTGTGGAAAATAAGAGTGGAAAATCTTCCCTTGGCAACCATCCAGACACTTGGTCATAACAGACTTTTGTTCATTGTGTTACGATATGTAATATTCATCTTGTGCATCACGACCCCAAATATGTCAATGGGACATCACGTCACTTCATGTACGGACTTCCGGAGTAAACCAACTTCAAGCAGACGCCTCCTGTGATCTTTAAGTTATGAATCATCTCGAATACAACAAAACGCATTACGAAACATGGTGTCAGAAGTGGTGACAACTCACTCTCGTCACTAAATGAATTTTATTACTCCCAACTCAAGTGAGTTTGAGTGAACTAACTTTATTTGACCTGCAAACTCGATCGTGTTAAACCCACGTGCGTTGCTTGACTTGCTGCATTGCATAACTCAAAAATAACTTTCTACAAAGTGAACAAAAGCTGAAACTAATTTTCATTCTGAAGATTGATGTTTATTATACGCAACAACTTGATTGTGATATAATTTGCACTTGAAAACTCTCTCTATGAACTCCATATCACAAAATTAAAAAAGTATGGAAGTCTATGTGGTGCCATAACTCAATTTCGCAAGAAATCTACTGAAGTGCTGATGGTGAAAATTTTCTATGGAAGCCTCAAAGGGATATTATTTGAAGTTTCATTGTTTATGGCAATTTGAACTTTTAAACAGCAAAAAAGTAATTTTGAAGCAGTTTTATGAACTTTTAAGAAGAAAATAAAAAAATTATGACAACTTTTATCATCACTATGGCTGAAGAGCAAGCACAACCTGTTACTCAAGCTACATTTCAAGGCAATATTCCCCCACCTCCAAGACTTGAATTAAAGGGAAATCTTGCACAAAACTGGAAAAGATGGTGACAAATCTGGGACTCTTTTGAAGTTATGGCCAGAATTGATGTAAATGACCATAAATACAGACTTGCTTCATTCATAACCTACATAGGTCCAGAAACTCTTGATATCTATAATGGCTTACCTTATGAGTCTGAGGAGGACAAAGAGAACATTGATACAGTGTTAACTCTCATGAAAAGGCACTGTCTAGGTGAAACTAACTTCATATATGAAAGATACATCTTCAACCAAAGATCACAAATGGAAGGTGAATCTGTAGATACCTACACAAACACTCTCAGAACATTGGCTGCATCTTGTGATTTCAAAATGTTACATGATGAACTCATCAGAGACCGAATTGTGTGTGGTCTGAGAGATAATGCAACACGTAGAAAACTATTGCAAGAACCTAAGCTGACTTTGAAGAGATGTATAGATATATGCAGTGCAACTGAATCAACCATGGCTCAAGTAAAAGCAATGTCAAGTGCCCAAGAGGATATCCATGCTGTTTGCAAGAAATCTAAAACTCCATCCAGACGTCAACCCCCAGACAAAAGTAAACATAGTAAGCCTGTAAATGACTCACAACAGAAAACTATCATTAGTCAGTTGGCCAGGGGTGAAAAACAAGATTTTCGTTCCCACCTTTTCCTGTATACCTTAAACCTTTTCTATTGCATAAAGGAGGTATCTGTACACAGTTTTCATTGGGTAGTAAGCTTGCAAGTGTGTGCGTGAATTTTCAGAGGGTCAAAATTGCATAAATTGAATTCCAAATGCATAATTTGACAAAATTGGCTGTAACATTTTTATTAAGTCATTAAACTATCCAAATTATGTCTTTGATTATAGGTAATGTGTTCAGTTATCTGAATTTGGCAAACATTTTGTTTCATTTAACTGTTATTCTAATTCTCAGTGGAAACATTGGTAAAAATCATGTTTTTTTACTTCATTTTCAAATTTTGTGAGTAGGTAAAACACTAATTCCATTGAATTGTGACAATAAAACCACTGTAACTGGTATTAAAATCTGCCTGAACCATTGTACTATCTTATACAAAAAACAAAATGAAAATATATTACATAGGGGCTGAGATATTGTATACAATGTTACCCCACCCCCCAAAAACCAATTTTGACGAAAATTGCTTATTGAGATATGGTGGTAGATGATGTTGCTGTAGTGAATGAGTGGGATAATTGCAACAAAGCTTAAAAACACCAAAATAGTAAACTCATAAAGAAAAATGATGTTTTAAGTTTTTCTGTGAGCATTTATGGTGGCCATCTTGAATTTCAAGATGGCCGCCATTTTCACCTGTTTTCAAAATCAAGATCTAATATAGTTCTTAAACATGGTCATGTAATATATCATATGAAAGCTTGTATACAATATCTCAGCCCCTATGTAATATATTTTCATTTTGTTTTTTGTATAGGATAGTACAATGGTTCAGGCAGATTTTAATACCCAGTTATAGTGGTTTTATTGTCACAATTCAATGGAATTAGTGTTTTACCTGCTCACAAGATTTGAAAATGAAGTAAAAAAACATGGTTTTTACCAATGTTTCCACTGAGAATTAGAATAACAATTAAATGAAACAAAATGTTTGCCAAATTCAGATAACCGAACACATTACCTGTAATCAAAGACATAATTTGGATAGTTTAATGACTTAATAGAAATGTTACAGCCAATTTTGTCAAATTATGCATTTGAATTTCAATTAATGCAATTTTGACCCTCTGAAAATTCATGCACACACTTGCAAGTTTACTACCCAATGAAAACTGTGTACAGATACCTCCTTTATGCAATAGAAAAGGTTTAAGGTATACAGGAAAATGTGGGAACGAAAACTAAACTAAGCCTCTTTTCCGCTGGTGGCCAACTGACTACATGTGGAACTGTAAGTATTGTTGTAAACGTCACCCACCTCAACGAGAGCAATGCCCAGCATATGGTGTCAAATGCAGTAACTGTGGTAGATTTTCACACTATGCCTCCATGTGCAAGAGTAAGAAGAAACATTCTTCCCGAGTACACAGAGTCGATGATGATTGTGATGAATCTGATATTGATCCTACAGAGGAACTGATGACTAAAGATACCTGTAAAGAATCTGACAACTGTGTTGTAGGACAATACCCTACTTAAGTCTTCACAACACTTGAAGTGAACTCTCAATCAGTACGATTTCAGGTAGATTGCGGGGCTACTTGTAATGTTATCTCTAAAAAGTATCTCCCAGAGGACACTGACATGCAGGAAACGTCGGTTAACCTGAAGATGTACAATGGGTCCAAGCTTACTACAATGGGAACTGCTAATCTCCAGTTAAGCAATCCCCAAAACTCTAAAAAGTATCATGGCAAGTTTGTTGTGATTGCTGAGGACAGAACACCACTGATTGGATCCCGTTCTGCTCAACAAATGAACTTTATCAAAGTGCTCCATGAAAATATTCTTGAAGTTTCTGAAGAGAAACCTACGTCGGAGAAAGTCACATCCTCAACTGGTCTTACAAAAGAGGACATACTGAAGACTTACCCAGACATCTTTAGCGATGACCTTGGAACTTTTGAAGGAACTCAAAAGCTAGAAATTGATCCAAGTATAACGCCTGTCAAACAGGCACTCAGGAGAATTCCACATTCTCGAACGTCTAGAAAAACGTGGTGTAATTACTCCAGTTGATACACCTACAGACTGGGTCTCTAGTCTCTTTATCGTTAAGAAGCCCTCAGGACGTCTACGCCTATGCATAGATCCTTAACCTCTCAATAAAGCTCTCAAAAGATGTCACTATCCATTGCCTGTAATGGAAGATATACTGCCAGATATTGCAGAAGCCAAGGTGTTCTCTAAATGTGATTTGAAAGATGGTTTCTGGCATATCGTACTTGATGAGGACTCTAGTTATCTCACAACCTTTGGAACGCCGTTTGGACGCTATCGGTGGCTCAGACTTCCTTTTGGTGTTTCCCCTGCACCAGAGATATTCCAGCAGAGAATCGATCAGCTTCTCCAAGATCTGCATGGAGTATTCAGGATAGCAGATGATATATTGATCATTGGTGAAGGCTCTACCAAGGAAGAAGGAATAGCAAACCATGACAAACGGTTTGTGCAATTCATGCTACGATGCCGAGAGAAAGGTATTCGACTCAGACAAACTTGATCTGAAAAGGTCAGAAGTCTCTTACATTGGTCATCTTCTAACAGATCATGGACTCAAACCTGACCCTAGAAAAGTGAAAGCAATCCTTCAAATGCCTACACCTACAGATGTTCAAGGTGTCCAACGTGTGATCGGGATGGTTACATATCTATCCAAGTTCCTCAGAGACTTGTAAGATCTGTGTGAACCCATACGACAAATTGACAAAGAAAGGAATTCTTTGGAATTTCGACTCTATCAAGCAAGCTGTCACTCAAGCGCCTGTTCTCAAGTACTTCAACAGTCATGAAGAAGTCTCTCTTCAAAGTGACGCATCAGAAACAGGACTTGGAGCTACTCTACTTCAAGGTGGACAACCAGTAGCATACGCTAGCAGAGCTCTTACTCCCACAGAAAGAAACTATGCTCAAATTGAGAAAGGGCTCCTGAGCATCCTGTTCGGATTCACTAGATTCCACCAGTATCTCTATGGACGCTAAGTACAAGTCGAAAGTGACCATAAGCCCTTAGAGACTATACACAAGAAACCTCTGGTCACAGCTCCCAAGCGTCTTCAACGCATGCTTCTCGCCTTGCAGAAGTATGACTATACCATCACATACAAGAAAGGCAAGGGAATGTATCTTGCTGACACCCTGTCTCGCGCATACATGACAGAGACAGAAGAAGCTGTGCATGTGGAGATGGAAACAGAACAAATCCACATGTTAGACTACCTGCCTGTGTCTAATGAAAGACTCACTGAAATCCAACGTTCAACCGCTCTGGATGAAACTCTTCAGGTTGTAGCCAAGATGGTACAAGTAGGATGGCCTGAGACAAAGAGTGACATACCTAATCTTGCAAAACCATATTTCCAGGGATTTGTGAGGGATGAACTTAGTGTTCAAGATGGAATTCTGTTTCGTGGAAACAGATGTGTTGTTCCAATAGCATTACGATCTGACATTCTCAAACGTCTACATAATGCTCACACTGGCATAGAATCAACCAGGCGAAGGGCCCGTGAATGTGTTTATTGGCCTAACATGAATGCTGAAATCAAAGACTTCATATCCAAATGTGAAGTGTGCCAGATCTATGATTCCAAGCAGGCCAAGGAACCTCTGATTCCTTATGACACTCCAGACAGACCCTGGTCAAAGTTAGGTATTGAGTTGTTCAACTGTAATCAGAAAGACTATTTAATCCTAGTTGACTACTTCAGTGACTTCTTTGAAGTAGATATGATCACTGACACAACAGGAAAACAAGTGATCCAGAAACTCAAAAGTCATTTGGCTAGACACGGAATACCGGATACCATAATCTCATACAATGGTCCACCGTTCAATTCTCAGGACTTTGCTGATCTCGCCAACAAGTATGAGTTTACTAACATAACCAGCTCATCAGCCTTCCCACAGTCGAATGGTATAGTCGAGTCTGCAGTAAAGTCAGCCAAGAGACTAATCAAGAAATGCTCAAAAGCAGGTTCTGACCCTTATCTAGCCTTGTTAGACATCCGCAACACACCAACTGAAGGAATGTCTACATCCCCTGCACAGCGCCTGTTCAATCGCCGCACCAAGACTCTACTACCTACGACCAAACAGTTACTCGAACCAGCTGTTTGTCCAACAGTCAAATCTGAAAAGAGGAAGAAAGTAGAGAGTCAAGTGAAGTATTTCAACAGACATGCAAAAGACAAGATCTGTTGCCATTGTATGAAGGCCACCAAGTGCGCATTCAACCACTCAGACTAGGTGATCATGAATGGAAAAAAGGCACAGTAAACAAACAAGTTAACATCAGATCATATGAAGTTAACCTTGATGATGGTCAAACACTAAGGAGAAATAGCCGTCACTTGAGACCAGTACCATTTACACCTCATGAACCAGAACCAGCGTCTCAACATGCTCAAGCACCAGCAATTATACAAGCACCAGAGCCAGTTACAGACCAGCCACTGAAACAACCGTCTCCCAAGAAAGTTAAACAGTCACAGCCACAGCCATCAGTGACAACAACAAGAAGTAACAACAACTCATCACCGAGAATCACGAGAAGTGGTAGAGTTTCAAGACCACCTGCACACTTGAAAGACTTTAACATGAAAGTGTGAACATGACTTTAATTTTGTGTATCTATTAAGTGCTGGGTGCACATCAATTTAATTTCATGGACTTTAATCTTATTTACATGCATATGTTTCTTTATTTCAACAGTGACTTTAATATGAACAGTGACTTTAATGTGAATAGTGTCACACTCCCTATTATCTCATTGACTTTAATTGTTTTCTAAAAAAAAGGGAGATGTTACGATATGTAATGTTCATCTTGTGCATCACGTCCCCAAATATGTCAATGGGACATCACGTCACTTCATGTAAGGACTTCCGGAGTAAACCAACTTCAAGCAGACGCCTCCTGTGATCTTTAAGTTATGAATCATCTCGAATACAACAAAACGCATAACGAAATACATTGTACAATAGCGTCTTTGGCTTTTTCAACAGATCACACAATTTGATATATACCTTTTAAAGTGGAGATTCTTAGCAAACTTTGAGTAGTATATTTTGTATATATTATACAAAGCAACAGTTCAGGAAACATAATGGACAGAGAAAAGTGTCAACTGTCATTAATAGTAGTGATTGAGGCTGAATAGAATCTTCTTGCAGTCTGTTAAAAAGTAAACAATAGTGTATTTTATAGAAACACCATATCTTCGACACACATGAGAACAGCTCTTCATATTAAATCTTCATATTTCCACCTGGAGAGTGGCATTGCTCGCAAGTTGTGATGAGTTAGATGAATTATTCTTATGATAGTCTCCTTTTCGATTTAGCAAAAGTATTTAGTCATTCTATCAAGTGAAACTGATAATATTAGAAATTATCATTTTTTTAGACACCTTTGTTTTGTTTGAAATGTCAAATATTAGGAATTATGTGTTTTAAGCCACCAAATATATTTTATTTTGTGTTTAAAATATTGTTGCATGCGCTTGATATGAGGAGAATGTTTGTTAATAAAGAAATTGAAATATATTCAAGTCAGCCATTAGAATCTACTTTTTGGTAAAGACAAGCAAAGTTCGAATAACAGTTCGAATAATTGCAATAGAGTTGAAACGGTTGTTGCCCACTTGAAAGGGAGATAATTGAACTGAACAAGGAAGATAACTCTTAATATTCAAGTGTTAATTTGTTAACCATTTTAGCCCTACATTTGTGTCAATGTCTTGTTTCAGGTGTTTGAGGCTGTTATGTCGTGGGTACAGCATGACTTAGGGTCAAGGCAGGGTCTGGTTGAGCAGTTGCTTGAGCATGTGCGTCTGCCTCTCATGACCCAGGAATATTTAGTGCAAAGGGTGGAGGAGGAGCCACTGGTCAAGACCAACAGTAGATGCAAGGACTTCCTCATCGAGGCTATGAAATATCATCTGCTGAAAAGTGACCAAAAGATCATGTTCAAAACTCCACGAACACAGCCAAGGAATCCTATTGGATTGCCAAAGGTATATTATCAGTGTTTGTGGGAGATCATTACAATAATTAAGTCATGATACATCTATATGCACATCTGTTTCAACATTTAAATGGCAGTTTCGAATAAGGTGAAACTCTCCATGTATAACTGACATTGAAAGGAAGTTTGTTCGGGTTGGCAAGATAACCTTCCAATATCTTCTATGTGGGATGACAATTAGCATCACAGTTTGTTCACAGTTTGTTTGAAATTGGTTTCATTAATCACAAAAAAGCTAACTTTAATGATGAAATGATATTGTATCTGTGACCATTAAAGTGACAAAGGGAAATAAAGTTGATTTTACAGTGTACATTGTCTTTCCTTTCAGGTGTTACTTGTGATTGGGGGCCAGGCTCCTAAGGCAATTCGCAGTGTTGAGTGCTATGACTTTCAGGATGACCGATGGTTTCAGTTGGCTGAGATGCCCACGAGGAGATGTCGTTGTGGTGAGTGGATAAGCTCTCATGAATGCAACATCAGTGCTAACTGAATGTAGATTACATTTGTTGAAAACATGACAACATACTGCAATTTTCTTCTTTCACTTCGATGCTATAATACAGAACCCAAATCGTGACTGTCTATGTTTGCACACTCTCCACCAGGACACCGAGTTACCTTCCCTGATGCCCCCAGTTTCCTTCTCATTTCATAGGCTACATCGCAGTTCATTGGTGACTACCTGTTGTAGCAACCTGTTGTAGCAACAATATGGGTACAACAAGGAGCTGTGAGGGGATACCAATGGTACATGTGCAGCATCCATCAACTGTATTGGTAGATTCCTGATCATGGTAGATCAGCAGATTTGCCTAGATAATGATAGTTAATTTAGATTTTGACCAAGTTCTCAACGGTTCCACTCACCATTTTTCTGTTCTGTTTCTCACTCTCTGTATTAGTCATGATAAACAAAAAGAAAAATTTGAAACATTGATCAACAATTTTACGTTTCCAACACTTTCCATGATTCTTAGAAAATGAAATGAATATAGTTGTGGAAATAGGTAAATGTGCCTCATATGAAGTGGAGTAAATGTTATAGTATTGAAAATAACAACATAATATATGCTCTTTTGTTCAATGTTTTATCAAACTGTGGTACAAATTATATTGGGGAAACTGGTATGCAACTACAAGACTGCATCACTATACACAGACAGACAATTCGAGATTCAAATGTATGTTGAACGTTGATGAATGCAGGAGTGGCCATTTTACTTTGTTTCTGTTTTATATATTGTTTCACAATAATAAATATTTACAAGTGGAAAAAGAACAGATCTTCATTAAGCTTTTTAGAGGCGGTCGGGTAGCCTGGTGGTTAAAGTGTTCGCTCGTCACGCCGAAGACCCGGGCTCGATTCCCGACATGGGTACAATGTGTGAAGCCCATTTCTGGTGTCCCCCGCCGTGATATTGCTGGAATATTGCTAAAAGCGGTGTAAAACCATACTCACTCACTCATTAAGCTTTTGAAACCTAAACTTAATTCAAAAGTATAATTTTTAAAACTGTCCTATGTAGTTCACTTCATATTTGTGCACTCACATTGTTTTTATGCCTCACACTATTGTGACTAACTATGATGTCAAGGGCATTATAATGCCAGAAACGTAATGTTGGCTGTCACCTATGACGTTTTTCGTCTCCTTCTATTGTCAATAACTGTTACGTCAGAGACATGATGTCAGAAACATAATGTTTGCTGTCACCTTTGACTACGTTCTACCTCTCCTTCTATCGTCACAAACTGTTACGTCAAAAGCATTATGACATCACAAATACTACTGTTGTGGGTCGCCTATGACTATGCTGAAGTTTTCATTACACCTGAAGAGCCGTTGTGTGGTGAAAGATCTTGTGTGCGTAAAGGAGTTATGACAAGCAGAAATATTTGGACTCTGTTTCAGGGGTCCGGAAAATTAAATCCCAATCGGACATTTGCATTTAGGCCACGCCCCCTTCAAATAGCGTATTTTAGTACGACTTTCACACATTACAAGTTTACGTATTCATAATATGATGAATTATGAATTATTTCAATTTAAATTGTTTAATTCACCGGACAATTAATAACAAATAATATCATTTTAGATTTACATGGAAAACATACGTTTGTTTCTGTTATAATAACGATCTGTTAACGTAGTGAACGGTCAAATTAATATTCATGAGTTATATTCATGAGTCTGCTCAAGTGTCACACTCCGTCGCAGTGGTGACTCAGCATAACACCACTGCCACAGGCTAATTTGCATATCACGTGACCGGACTTTTCACTTGTTTGTAAACAAACGCGCTTTTTCAGAAATCAGAATTAAACGGACTAATGCAAGTATTTGGGGGCGCTTTACATATTGTTTTGCATAACTATATAGATATGCTACTACAACTGCGACAGTGAGTTGCATGACAATATATATTTATGCATCAAAGTGACCGTGTCGCTAGCTCTCCGTTGGGCTTCGATGACAGCACGTGGAGCCGTACAACCAATATAAACATAGGATAACTACGCAAAAACAAGTAGATTTTTACGTATTTGCATACTTTCTCAATGAAAGTTAACCATTCTTTGACATTTGTTTATGAAAATGTGTAGACTTGGCAAACGTGAAACGGATGAAAAGCATATGCAATATCTTGAATGGACTGTGAAAGATGTGACGAATCGTCACATGGCGCTGGCCTGTGGCAGAGGTACTATGCTAGCTGGCTGCCGGCCGCATGGAACTCTGGGTAGGAGAGTGCTCAAGTGTACGCGTTGTAACATTTGGATCGAGACTATTATCCCATATTTGGTTATCACGTGACCTCACGGGAAAAGTTTTTTTTTAAACTAAAGATTTTTTTAAAAACAAGACATAATTTAATCACAAATACTAAAATATCGTTGATAGCAATAGTTATTTGAATACGTTTTTCATCTGTACTTAATTATTGACCATAAAAAATTGGATATCGATCGTCCGAGAAAGCAAAATGGCGGTCAATCAAGATTCAATATACGACTAGCTACTGAAAACAATAAAATCTGCAAATCCTCATTGTATGTCAACCAAGTGAAAGTCGTTAGCCACGACTTACAAAATGATCGTCCAGACTTTGAGGGTTTGGCAGATCTGCTCGACTGATCTGCATCGGTCGACTGGCTGTCGTCACGCTTTCGCTTCTTGTCTGAGGTTACGTATCGTAGCATTGTGAGGATAATGAGGTACATCGATGATGCAAGGTATGAATGTACAGTTGTAAACACCTTTCAATCAAATTAACAAGATGTTCTCAGTAATTAATCCTCGATTAATCGGTGTCAACTCAGTTTATTGCCTATTACAGTGATTGACCGATTGGACTATCATGTACCTGTACGATGTATTTACAGCAATCAAAACAAACAAAGCTTGTCAGTGTAGTTAATCTTCATTGTGTTGCAACTGCAGACAGAAACTGCTCAGTCCTAACTGTTGATCATGTCCGGTCAAAATTTAAGAATGTCCGGACAATACTTTTTAAAATGTCCGGTAAGCAATATTTTAAAACGGACATTTGAGATTCCCAATCGGACATGTCCGGCGCATATGACGGTTTCCGGACCCCTGCTCTGTTTTTGTGTATTTAATGCTTATGTTTATACACCTGAAGAAATCTAATTTAAAAAAATATCATTTCTTTAGTGGTACATATTGTTTCTTTCTTTGAGTTATCTCCCTTAACGCTGGAAAATCCTGCCCTCTGCGCATGTGTAATTCCTTAAACTTCATGCGGAATTCACAGAATTAACTACACACTGGAATAAACCTAAAATAGACACGAGGAAACGATCTATTACTCTGACCTCTTCTGATTCATCAGTCTTGACCAATTCAGCAAAGATGAAATCTAAGAAAAATATGGAAGAATAACAGCCTAATTTGAATGAATTTCCTCATTTGTTATCATCTATGTTTACAAATTTCAAATCGGAAATTACACAGGACATAGCCCAGTTAGATGAGAGAGTAGAGCAAGCAATCATTACGCAAGCCAAGTTTACTGAACAAAAATTTGATCAATTGGATTCCAAGCTAGCTATAGCTTATAAAACAAAGGGACAGGTTACTGTATGTGGGTTGCCTTCTAAAGAGCCTGGGACCCTGGATCTGTCTGATAGGCCTCTGGTGAGTTCTGACAGATATGTTCCACTTATCTCCCAGGTAGTAGTATAGGTAAGGAGGGTTCTGCCGCAACCCCACTGGAGCCAGATTTATATACCTATACTGCTACTACAGATGAATTTTTTTTATGCAAAAATGATGATGCGATTCAACTATCGTCATGAGATTAAACTGAATTGTAATGAAAATATTCTCTATTATTTTTACTCCTACGCATACCATTATTTTGAACAAAGTGATATTCAACATTTTTACTAAGTTCTTCTTTCATTTTACTAGGAGACCAGACTATATACTCTTTTTCAAAATTGGAAAGAAACAATTGATGACCGCATTTGGTTGGTTTGACATCACTGATATAATATATACACTGTTGTAATTCTTGCCATTTGATCATTTTGTCCTGGAGCATAAATGCTTCGATAGCTTTTTCGAGTTCTTCCTTTGTTGGTTTGCAATTCTCCATTATTATACACTTATGTAAGCATTCGTCTAAATTTTTGTAGTGTGATCCAATGTGATCAAGCAATCTATTTTTAATCTCCAACCAGTTCTTTGGTTTTGGCATGGAATAATTGATGCGCTTGTTGTCTCCCCTGTTCTATGAACTTTTTTTCTCGTCTTCGCTAATACCACTGGTCTCCTGCTTCATTGCGTTGTATTTGGTTAGTTCTGACAACACTAAACGAAACTACTCCTCGGATATCTTACAGTCAGCCATTGCTGTTGAAATATGGTCCTCAATGCTGTTCAACTTTTCTTCGGCGAGTATCCAAATATTATCATGTTTTAATGCTTTTTTTTGCAACTTACGAGAAATAAATTTTATCGCTATTCCTGCCAGTCCTGAGACTCCGGCGGCTATTTCCATGCCAAGTACGATAGGCGCGGCGATTATAGTTGATAATAAACCAACACCGGCTGTTACAAGCGCAGTGTCAACTCCCTCAAGAGCATTCATGGCTCTGCGATACTTTTTATAAATTCCAAGTCTCAACTCCCTCTCTTTCTCTATTCGATGTTTTATGTTGCTTATTTGATGTAATCGAAATCCATCAACAGTATCCATCTTTTCAGATGCTTCATTGAGCGACGGATATAAACTCATAGTTTATATCTTTATATCATATAATAGTCTTTAATTGGTCTTGCTTCAATGTTTTGAGTGTATCAACCTTATTAAATGTATATTATACGGCATAAATATCTTAGTAAGAGAAATGCTATCACCTTTAATAATTTGGACTCCCTCAAGGGTTGCAACGGGTGATGCTCCTACATAAAAAATAC